CAGTTAATTCACAAAGGGGATCATGTAGTACATAACTGGTTAGACAACAAGGCCAAGTGCAAGGTCCTGCACCTGGGTCTGGGTAACTCCCAGTATCAATACAGGCTGGGGGAAGAAAGGATCGAGAGCAGCCCTGCCGAGAGGGACTTGGGGGTGCTGGTGGATGAAAAGCTGGACATGAGCCGGCAATGTGCGCAGGCAGCCCAGAAGGCCAACCGTACCCTGGACTGTATCAAGAGAACCGTGGCCAGCAGGTCAAGGGAGGCGGTTCTGCCCCTCCACTTTGCGCTGGTGACACCTCACCTAGAGTACTGTGTCCAGCTCTGGAGCCCTCAGCACAAGAAGGACACGGAACTGTTGGAGCAGGTCCAGAGGAGGGCTACTAAAATGATCCAAGGGCTGGAGCACCTCTCTTATGAGGACAGGCTGAGGGAGTTGGGGTTGTTCAGCCTGGAGAAGAGAAGGCTGCGGGGAGACCTGATTGCAGCCTTTCAGTCCTTAAAGGGAGCCTATAGGAAAGATGGGGAAAATCTTTTTAGTAGGGCCAGCCGTGACAGGACGAGGGGTAATGGTTTTAAACTAAAACAGGGTAGGTTTAGACTGGATATAAGGAAGAAATTCTTTACAGTGAGGGTGTAAATCTGATTCTTGTAAATCAGATTTACAACAAACATGTTGCCCAGAGAGGTAGTGGAGGCCCCATCCCTGGAAACATTCAAGACCAGGTTGGATGGGGCTCTGAGCAACCTTATCTAGTTAGCGGTGTCCCTGCTCACGGCAGGGGGGTTGGACTAGATGACCTCTACAGGTCCTTTCCAACCCAAAACATTCTATGATTCTATGATTCTATTCTTAAATCCTTCTCTTTGCACTGCTTTTCCATAGGAGTAATTGCTCTCAGATGAGACCTTTGATTCCTTGACTAAGAGGTAAGTTCCACAGCTAGCTGTGTCGTTGACTTATTCCTGTTCTTTGTCTCATTCTTGCTAACATTCAGTATGTGCAGGGTCTTAGGTTGTTGTGTCAGTTATTTAAGGTTCTGGAAAACAGAAGATGGAAACGGAACAGGTAATGTTTTCTAAATGTATTGTCTGACTTAAACCCATGAAATATTATGGTCTTTAACTCTATGCAACAGGACTCTGATAGTATAGATATACACTCCATAGTGTAAAGGAAGTGTTTGTAAGATTTCAGTATTTTGAACAGAAAAAACACCTCATATTTCGAAGTATGATTTATAGGCTCTTATTTTTGTTAAAGCTCACTTGCTATCCATCATCTCATACTTCAAAAAAAAAAGTATAGGGACTAGAAATAAGTGGATGTCTCAGATTCACAGCCTAAGAAACTATCCATGCTGTGCAGAGAGGTTCCTAGAGCAAGCCAATAAAATGAATTAAGTACAGGGATCATGGCTATCATTATCTTACAAGGTAGTACTTGGAATCTGCTCCTCTGGGCAGGCATCTGCAACAAATCCTTCAAAAACTAAATAAATTTTCCTTACTTTATTTGACATGGCAGAGATGCCAGATCATGATATAATAGCCAAGAGGTTAGACGGTTCCACTTTTCAACTAAAAAGTCCACATTTGTGACCTTTCTTAAAATCATTTTCCACTTCTGGGCAGAATGTTCTAGTCACAGAGATGTTACTGGAGATGGGCCTATTCCTTCAGCCACTTTTAAAAGAACAAGGTGGCTGTGTTTTGTCATGTGCCTAGTTCTGTTAATGTTCAGTCTACTGTGATAGTATCTGCCAGACCTAGCCTGGCATGTGGGTTCATGTGGAGAAATGGGGTAATAAGTTTATCTCACTAACTGTAGATGTCAGTCTATGTGTCAGTACATGAGCTAGCAACTCTAGACTCTGGTTTTGGTCCGAGGAAAAAGTAGTTATTTTTAAGGTGCAGTTGAATTTTAGATACCTACTTCAGGATGAATCTGCCTTAAGAGCTATTGAATATGTTGAATAGATCTCCATCGATTATCCAGGAGAGTGACTAACTTAAGTAGTGATGCCTAATTTAGTTTAGTGGACACTACTCATAGTTTCTGGATACTGGTTCAACTTAAAATTCTCATACTGGGGTAGTTCCAGTCCTATGAGAAAGCTGGAGGCCCTAATGAAGTTCAGAGTGAAACAGGGAAGTGCCTGCTGAGCTTGGGCACCAAGAATAGCCAGAGCTGAGGGAGAGTGGGGGGGATTGTAGTTTTGGAGTGAGGATTTAGTTAGGCATAATGACTGTCCTGCTGGATGAGTGACAACACCTGGTTAGGCCACTGCACTGAAACTGGGTAGAAGCAAAGTAAAGCAGACTAATTTGTCTACCACTGAAGGCAATAAATTCCAGGTGAATGACGGGAAGTAGTTATAGGTTCACAGGTTGCTTGACTATGCGCTGGCTGCATCTGTTATGTCAAAGTCCTTTATTACCTCTAGCTCTGTATGATTTCAAACAACCGACCCTTTAATCTCAAAAAAACATGTGTGGAAAAAATATGTGCCTGTGATTCTAGAAACATACAGAACATGAGGTAGAGAATATTACTCAAATGAGAATATTCTTTATATTTTCTTTAAGATTTACTTAATTGCACTTAATTACTAGTGAATAGAGTTTTAAGTTTTTAGAAGAAGTTTTTCAGGTAACATAAACCCTGCATTTAATCACATTTAAAAATATAAATCCTGTTACAAATTTGCTCCGAAATATAAATATTTAGAATAGTAAACTGAGAATCAAAGGTATGCGTTCTGTAAACCTACTGAGAAAAAGACAACATGCAGTTATCATGAAGAGAAAGGGATTTGAATAAGAAGTTATTTTATGGGTCAGTAGCCTTGCAATACCTGTACACATTGATTGTCTGCAATAATTAAAATTCAATGAAGATGACACATTTGTAATTATCACTAAGCCAAAGAATTCCACCTGCATCACTGCTTCAAGTCAGAGAATGACCACTGAATGCAGAGAGCTTTATGGGAACAAAGCTAACACCAACATTTGGTGGCAGAATGCATTGAAATCCAGAATAGTAACTGCAGCAAAGAAACAGACTGAGGGGCATAATCCACAATAAAGTCATTGTCCTGTTCTCTGTGCTTGTTGCTACAGATCATACTGCCTTTTTAATATTGCCAAGGAATCAAATATTTCTGAACATGTAGAAAAGTGTGTAAGTTTCTTTAAAATATTCTCAGAAGTTGGATGTATTTATACAGCATGAAGAAATATTTACAATTAGAGACTTTAGTTATTCGTGGTCTTGGAATATGTATAATTATTTGAATCTGTGAACATTAATTGTACAACATTATAAATACTTTTACATGAATTGACTTTTAGAATTGTTTGGTTTATACCTAATTAAACTCATTCAGAATTAAAATTGCTTTTTATGACTTTAGCTTAATTTATATCTGAAGTGAATTGAGCTGAACTGAGTAATTCTAAATAAGCGTCTATATCTCCATACCAGGATTTAACATAATTTAAATAACCCAGATTTCCTGAATGTCTTTGTAAATCTGATTCTTGTATGTGTGCATGGTGCTTACTTTCTGCAGTGTCTGCATAAATCAGAAGGTAGTATGTTCATAATTTTTTAATACATTTTTTCTTATATAAGTTAATTTGTCCCTAGCCAAAGCTGTACATTCTGAAACACTGAATTGTAGTGTGTGTATGTGTTCATATGTGTGTATATATCTATGGACAAGGGTAAAGCAGGTTGGAACTGAAGAATCTTTGATTGTATGGGTCTTCCTCTCAAAACTGTGATTAGTGACCTGCCTACGAAGTTTTAAATTTCAGAGCCATTTTTAGGATGTGCTTATCAACTGGTTTCACTACTGCTGTGTTACAATTTATTTGAGAGCCCAGTAGAGGAACAACACCTGAAAAAATTCAGAGGATTCAAGAAGAACTCCAAATTTTTGTTGAACACAACAAACAATAGCCCTGACTTCTGGAACCAGCCAGGCTACAGCTTGTATCACACTAGAAAATAATCTCCTGTACCACAGGAAGGCTGTCCGGATAGTCCTGGCTGAGGGTGAAGGTGTGGTTTCCCTTTGAGGACTAACAGAGGAGTTACTAAGGGGTACTAACAGTTGCACATTTCACTTTTACACAGTGTTGAACCAAACCAAGTTTGGCATAACTGGGGTTATGTTCTATGCATAGCTAGTGCTGGTGGGTCATGTTGCTCTTTACTTTTGCCTGTAGCTTAACTATAAGGCTCTGCTGAAGTTTTGCAAGCCACATGAAATTAGGTCCACGTGAGGTATTACATCCATATGCTTCAGAAGCTACTATTAGATGCAGCTTAGAAGGTCTTCCTGGTTCATGTGCACATGTGCTAATGGGAAAAAAAGTGGAAGACAGAAGCTGGACTCAGTGTAAATAGATGTACCTTTTTTAAATCAGTGAAATTTGTATTGTGCAGAACAGTTTCTTAATACCTGCAGACCTGTTTTTTGTCTTCTGTGAAATATGAACAGAGAATTCAAGTTGAATTTGAACCACATTTTCAAGGTAAAACTTATTTGCGCATTCTGCAGTTGTATAGAATGTTTGCTCACATAGAATGTATAGATAAACATGGGGAAATACCCTAATAGGACCTTCAAGTTCACATACGATTTATAGATGCAGATAAAACTAACTTACAGAATAGAATGTCCTATGTATTTGTACCACATTACAACTTGAGCCTGTGATGTCTCAGATCTATCTTTTTAGTTACATATTTTGTTGACAGATGTATTTTACCAAGTGCGTTCAAGTGTTAGAAAGTTTGTTTTGTTTATAAGGGACAACTTTCTGCCTAGAAATAACTATGTCAAAGAAATCTTCAAACTGATTAGGTGGGTCAAATGAATGAGAAAGTCTGTCTTACAAGCTTCCCTAAGTCACTGGTAAACTGATTCCTAAAACACAGAATGGAGTTTGTTTGTCTGCTTTTATTTTTTTGTTTTTGTTTTTAGAATGGGTAAAAAAGTAAAGAAGGAAGTAGAGCCTCCACCCAAGGATGTGGTAAGTTTATAAACTGCTATGTGCTACAAAATAAATATTACACAATTACAGTCCCAGCTCTACCATCCTTACATAGTTCCTTACGCTCCTAGCTTACCCACATTATTCTAAAAATGTCTTTTAAAGATGATTCTGTTTCTGCTTTTCTTGGACAGCATACAAACCAGAGTCACTGGGCATGTGTAGTTCTTTGTGGAGACTGTTGTCTTTGGCAGGCTTTGCAAATAGTAATGTATGAAACAATCCAGGCTTCTTTTTATTTGAAGAACAGTATTAGCTTTCCATTTGTAAAAATCAAAGGGGAAAAGAGAAGAACAACCTGAAATCTGCCTCTCTTTTCAACTGTGGAGATGTTCCCTTTCTTTAAGGATGAAAGAGTTAAGAGCCTAGATGGAACTGCAGAGTTTTTTACCGAATACAGAATTTTACAGATATTTTGAATGACAGTACTACATATTCTGGATCTTTTGCAAAGATATACAGTCTTTAGCAGCAGTTCAGGTTTTTCCGGTATCACTGGAAGTGCCACAGTGAGTACAAGAGCTGAAGCCAAATATGGAATAATGGTGGTAAATTTTTCCAAAAGGTAGAGATTAAGGGTCTGACACTAGCGCACTTCTTTTTTCCAAGAGTTTCTATAAATTCACAAGGTACAAAGAGACTGCCAAGAGATAGAGTTTCAAAATATATAGGTATTTTTAAAGTTTAATTGGTTTATTCAGAAATAAATAGCGGGAATAAGACAGAAACATTGAAAAGAGTATAATATAAATTCTGTGCCAGATAATAACTAAGTTAATGAAAAGCAGGACCTCAACATGTCCCACAGAGGAGCATGAAACTAAATGCAAAGTTCAGTATGCTGTTTTAAAAAAACAATGGGTTTGGCTGTAAAACGTGATAGTACTGCAAGAGCTTTTTCAAAGGTGGATCAGTAAAAACTATGTCACAATTTCAATATTAAATAAGCATAAATAATTTTGACTAAGAAAGTAATACCCAATAGCCATGATGTCACTGAGGCATAGCAATTGATATCAGGCTTTGCTCAACTGTTCTGTTGGAAGATAAATATTACAAATGTAATTCATAAACTCCAATCAATAATAAATCCCTATGAAAGGAGACTTGACGTAAAACTTCAACAAGAGAGGATAAATTGATCTGAAGCCATTTCGATGTGGAATAACCGAGAAAACCAGGAGGAGGCACAAAGGTGTATGTGGATAGGACTAATTAAAACAGGCCTGAAGAATTAAAACTAAGTATCTTTCCAGTCTAAGAAAAAAAAATGCAAGGCATGACAGTAGATTTAAGGCATACAGAGCTAACCCCCTCCAAAGTAATAAAAGTTGACTTTTTCAGTAAATATCTAGAAAGTCAGTAGAAGCAGCACCACAACTTCTAGATCCAAAAGATAGAGAGTTTCTGAAGAAAAGTGTGGTACAGCCTACTAACTACTACATTAAACTGTGAATAATGTTAGAAAATATATTCAACAACTGAAAAAAATACTCTTACAGAAAATGTCAATAAAACTATAAAAAAGGAAAGAATTGGAAAGACTGAAGTCCAGATGTCATCTGCAATTTTTTGGCTTAGTTTTTACCCTTATTGTACTTTAGGCTAGCATATCTCTTCTAGCAGTCCTGTCAGGAGAAAGAAACCCACATGTTGCATAGCAAAGCAGTATTAAATATGAAAGTAGATCATTGATTCATAACTATCAACCAATAAAATCATTTAGCTATGAGAATGTTGTTAATCATGATCTTGTAAAATCAAATCTCAAAACTTTACATTTCACCTGGATATTTCAGATAGCAGGAAATGAGATGCCAACAAAATAAAAGGTGTATTAGCTATTATCTTCTGATTGATAATCTGCTTATGAAAATGTCAAGTCCAAGAAAAGAAGCCTTGAGATAATGTGGACAGGCTTATAAAAGAGGGCCTTTGTGCACGTGGAATGCTCTGAGAATATATGGTACTGCAGTTGACCACTAATTTTTACAGATTTCTAGGAACAGGTGGAAAACACATCTCTTAGCCTAGTCAGTGCTTATACATTTCAGAAAGTGTTCCTGAGGACTCTGTTTTCCCTGCCTTTCATAATTTGTCTGTTACTACTATCTGTTCTGAGAACTGGGCTTCTCAAGGAAAAATATTGCTTCGAGTCTATCTCTATATGGATGACCTTAGACTGCAATTCAGGCAGATAAAATATGCTAGCTTTGACATAGATTGATAGGAACTTTTCATGTGATATCTTCATTAAGTTTGGACTAGACAATATTACTATCTGATCAGCTAGGGAATAGACATTAAAAGGGAAACCTAAGATTACTACTAGAGAAAATACTGAGGCATTATCACTGAAAGCAAGCTACAGATACCCGAGTATTTTTTTAAATGGCTTAGTTCACAACACTGATGTTAAAAAGGTCGAATATATGAAGTGGCGCTGTCAAATCCTGAAATTGTCTCCACAGAAACACCTTCTTTTGAGCAAGTAATGCCTAAATATTAATTTGACTTTAGTAGGGCTTTCAACACTGTCTCTCATAACATCCTCATAGGCAAACCGATGAAGTACAGACCAGATAAATAGGCAGTGTAAATGAACTGAAAACTAGCTGAACTGCCAGACTCAAAGGGTTGTGATCAGCAGCATGAGGTCCAGCTGGAGGTCAGGCACTAGTGTTGTGCCCCAGGGGTTGATCCCAGGGCTAGTACTGTTTAACCTCTTCATTAGTGACCTGAATGATGGGACAGTGTACCCTCAGCAAGTTTGCAGAAGATATGAAATCAAGAGGAGTGATTGATAGAGCAGGTGGTTGTGCAGCCATTTGGAGGGACCTCAACAAACTAGAGAAACCGGAAAACAGGAATTTCATTAAGTTCAATAAAGGGAAATGCAAAGTCCTGCACCTGGGGGAGGACTAACTGGTACAGACTGGGTGATGACCAGCTGGAAAGCAGCTTTACAGGAAAGGACCTGGTGATTCTGGTGGACGTGCACCAGCAATGTGCACCTGGGGCAAAGAAAGCTAGCAAAATCCTGGGGTGCGTCAGGCAGTGTTGCCAGCAGCTTGAGGGAGGGGACTATTATTGCCTTCTACTCAACATTGGTGAGTGAGACTGCAAATGGAGTGCTGTGTCCAGTTCTGGGTTCCCCAGTACAAGAGAGACATGGATTTACTGGATCATTTGTCATGAGGAGAGACTGAGAGTTGGGACTGTTTAATCTTGAGAGAAGGCTTGGAGGGATCTTTTCAATGTATATAAATACATGATAGGAAGGAGTAAAGAAGTCAGGCCAGGCTCTTCTCAGGGATGCCCACTGAAAGGACAAGAGGAAATGGACACAAACTGAAACCTAGGAGGTTCCATTTAAAAATAAGAAAAAGATCCTCTTCTACTGTAAGAATGAAGGAACATGGCACTGGTTGCCTAGAGAGGTTATGGAGTCTCCATCCTTGGAGATATTCAAATTCAGACTGTGCACTGGCCCTGATCTGAACAGGGCAGTTGGACTCTATCATCTCCAGAGGTGCCTTCCAACATCAATTGTTTGTGATTCAGTGGAATATCTTTGGTTTATATTGTTAGTCTAGGACATCAAACAATGACAGAACTGAAACAATTAACATGACCAGGTATATAGTAACTCTGTTTTTCTAGGTAAAGGAAAAGGGGTTAAGAATATCAAAGATATCAGTAATGCTTCTAAAGAGTGTACGGAAGGTGCAAGGATAAAGCAGACCTGTAGTCACTTAATTCAAATTTAAAGGATTTTTTTTTTAGACATGATTAAAGAATAGAATAGCACAAAATATGACCGTTAACCTGTGATACTTGTGTCTCAGAATATTAAGAGTGGCTAAAATACAGTTGGCTTCAAAAATTATTTACCAAATCAACTGGTGAAAATATTTTCTTGGACTTTTTGAACACAGAGATAAGATCACTGTCTCTCCAGTTCTCTAGGCTGCAGAGTACTGGAGTCTGGGGGGGAGCATAAGCAAGGTGTAATAGTCTGCTTGCCCACACCTATTACTGGCCTTTGTCAGAGACAGGATGCTGGGGTAGATGGGTCTTTGGTCTGACTGGAAACATATTTTGTATTACCTACAATTTCACCTAAGTTAAGTTGATGGAAGCAAAAAAAAAAACCAAACCCAAAAAACCGAAGACTTTGCAGTTTCTAATGGCTTTGAAGTCACATGTACACAAAAATCATGATCAAAGACATATAGGAGTTTTTGAATTATAGCTTTCTTTTTCATTTAACTTGGTTTTTCCTTAATATGAACTGAATGTTGGAAATGTTGTTGCTTATAAACCGGTTAAATTTCTGTGTTTTATTCAAGGTTGTTTGTAACTTCAGGCATATTATTCTAGCAGATAATCTGTCCTCTATGTGGCATTAAGGGAAGAGTCTGCAATGATGTATGAAGATTTAGGAGCAAGCCTTGATTTTAGAAAATGCTGGCATTATGATAAGCAAAAGCCGCATCCAGTTCTATGGTAGTTTTGATGATTAATGTTACTTCCCAGCAAGTCACTGACTTGCTCAGGCCTTCAACTTCTTAAACATATGTTGATTTCAGTGACTCTTCTTACTGTGTTTTCAGCACAAAACTGCTTCTAACAGGAAAGTGCCTATTGAATATTTCAGACAGTAGTGAATCTAATGTCTATACAAATGGGTAGAGATTAGACCAATTTCACTCTGCTCATGTGCCAACCTGTCTTTAAATTCCAGGAATTATCATTGAATTGTAGTTTATATGATTACTTGTGAACACAAGAGGCAACAAAAATGGAGCAACATAACAGCATCTTTGGTGTTAGATCAATGTAAATAAATAACTGAGATTTAAAACTCTTACTTCATGTTTCATTTCTTATTAAACTTCATCTGAGATCCATCTTTGGGTTTATTTTTCTCTGGAGGACTAACAGCCTTTACTAAAAATTACAGTTTTATCCCATCACCAAGTATTTGGCCAGACTCAGGAGATATGTCTGTGCTTAAATCATAGCACAAACCTGGAGGATCGTGTTCTGTCCACGCAAAGACACAAATGTGCAGAAGTAGAGAAGTATGAAGGTGGCTAAAGGGACTTTCATCTCTTAATTCTTCTGTATGTCTCTCATGGGTAGAATGAACAAACTGTATAGAATGGGTAGCATGAATGTTGCTGTGATAAGCTGAACTTTTTGCCTCCTTACAATCTAAAAAGAAAATTCCCATAAAGAATTCCATTATTTTAGGCCCATCATTAAGATGTAACTTGGACCACTGTGCCAATATTTGGTTTAATTCTTGTTGCTGAGTCATTATTAAGCAAAATTACTTATGGTACTGTAAGCTGATTATATTTTCTTTGAAAAGGAGCTTTGTTCCATGACTTGTCCCATGCCTCCAGCTTGTCACAGCAAGCATGGAGCTGGACAGTGTCTTCACGTTTTCAGACCTGCTTGAAGCTGGGGAGACCAGTTAAGCACGTTAGCCAAGCAGCCTCTTAACTGTTAATGAAACTTGGATCTTCATCTTGCAGACTGTTAAATTGTGTGATATGCCTCATGGAAGATGATGAAATTACTTAGATTTAAAAGCCTACCAAAAATAATAATTCAGAAGTCTGGGTACTAGTATCATATTTTACCTTATTTTTTAACAAGTCAGAGGAGGGAGAAGAAAAAAAGCCTCCTCTGTTCATTTTCCTTCTAGCACACTCATAACTTTTTTGACGATTTACTCCAAATAATTTCCTTGCTTGACAACTGACTTGTATGTGTCTTCATGCCCTTATTGTTCATCAGCATGTGCCTCTGCTGTAGCTATCATAAGGTTTTTAAATAAAGTAAAACAAATAATATCCATTTTTAAATATATATGGTATAAATATTTACTGCAGTAATATTTTTTAAAAAATTGTATTCCTATCTTATAATTATTAATCTGCTGTATTTTAAAAATAAATACATTGATATTGAGAGACTGCATGACTCCAGTATCTTGTAGTTTTTCTATGTGACATAGATACTCTATAGGCCTAAAGTGTGAGGACAGAAGATAGTTCTTCCATATTAAAAAATTATTTTAAATCCAAATAAGCTTAAAACTTTTTATGGGTGGAATTTTCAGAAATCCTTGAGTCTTGTTAAAGCACAAAAGGCTTTTTTAGAATATGCATTTTCTCGAGTTATGTTAGTCCCAAAGAGTCTATTAAGCGGGTAAAAACTGCCAGATTTGTTGGAAGATTTCTTTCTGTATGAGAGAGGTCGGAAATGCAAATGAACACTTCATATGATTTCTAGCTTGCTGAGCAGGGATTATATCATGGAAATACTTCAGCTAGTACAAGATCATGGTAAGCTAGTGAACTGAGTCAACAAAGGCACAGGAAGGATCCTTTTATTTTTTTAAAGCAACTACAAATTGTTAATGCCACAGAGTAACCGAATCCTCTTCTTTGTACAACACCTAAGTTCCTAGGTTCTGTGCACATCTGCTCAAAAGATCTTCTCATGTTTGGTTCCAAAGCCAGGGGATGCTCCTACACGTGTAACAATTACATAGTCTGTTACTTTCAAGACTTCCTAGGTGTACAGGGAAGTGTCAAGGTTTTCCCGAAATCTTCACATGGGATGAAATCATGATTATATTTTGAAGTCAGATCTTCTTTCTTATTTTTCAACAATATCTCAAATTTTTATTACAAAATTGGATTTCTCCAAGTAAATAGCAACTCATGTTAATATTTCTAACTCAGTGTGGATCTCAAACTAGATTTTTTTTCTAATGAAATGTGGGAGTCTATTACATCACATGGGAAGGCTCAGTATAAATCAAACTATTCTTTCCTTTTTTTTGTTTGTAGTTTGATCCTTTATGGATTGAAAGCAAAACAGCAGCAACGGTTGTGCTAATGCTTGGTTCTCCTGAGGAGGAAGTTTTGGCCAAAGCATGTGATGCTCTGTATAAATTTGCATCAAAAGGTTAGTCTTTTTGTGATGAGCTTTCCTTCGCATTGCTTAGATTTTGATAGTAGTTCACAATTTTTTAGCTTCCTAGCAGTGAAATCTTCATTTCATCTCAAAGGTCTCTGTTAAGGTTTTGAGGGTTTTCTGAAATATCTGTCAAACCTATATTTGCAGTTATAACAAAGTCCTGTGGTTTGTGCGAAGGAAATTTTTATCGTTTTGTTGTAGAATTTTATATATATATTTAATAGAGATTGGCTTAGATATAACCTAGATCTGTTTTGTTATGAGCAACAGACCTGCATCTGGGAAAGAACTCTTTTTTTATGTTACAGTTGGAAACTTCTGTACTAATGTAGTTGTTTTAAGGTTCAGTTTTCAATGAAAATTACTTCTTAGCCTGCTTCTGTTATTTTTGCATATATCTCTTGTGTCAGTACTTCTGTGACAGATGATTTATTGGAGACTGCTCAGCCTCCTTTATCAAGCTTATTTCTGTATGTGTTGGGAATCTAACACGTCTTCAAGATTGCAAATCTTCCAAAGGTTGCTGTATTACCTATAGCTAAGCGTCAAGTTCTGGGTACCCAGAAGACAACTGTATAACAAAGGCTCAAAATTATGTAGCACATAATATCCTAAGATGCCTCCTACTCATTCCATGCCAGCCACTCAAACTGGTATACACTGGTAGCATTCTTGGTATAGTTAATTTGGTTTAATATTAATTTCAATTTAATTTGCTTTCTTTAAAAATTATGGGTTTATATGCTGATTATTGTACTGATCGCAATTATCAACAGTGCTGAAGTTATGAGAGAAGAGCTGAAGGCTTTGACAGTTGGCATGGGTTCACTGGGTTCTGCAAGATGTTTATGTTCAGCTTAATATGGCAAGCTTGGCTGGGGCCATGCAACCAAATTTTGAATATGTGAAGAGAGAACTTGGATTGTTGGGAGACAGCTATGAACAGCACACCGTAAACTCTTGTTGGCTCCTTCCCTGCAGTCCACAGTAACATATGGCACACTGCAAGAGGACAGATACTTACATTTTTCTGTTTCTACTAAATGAAAAATCCTTTGAATTGTTAATGCTAGTAGTCCTGTAATCATCCAGAAGACTAGACTGTAACTTTGCAGTGTCGCACAAAGAGGAGGAATTGTTGTCACTTTGCCGTTAATTAATTTCTTGAATGTTGCTAGTAAATTAAGTCCCATCCCTCAGTAAAAAATAGTTCCTGTATTTTAATTGTGCTTTGGCCTGAGAATGAGAATAGTTCTCCAGTTTCTTCTCTCATTGCTCACTTGTAGCCAGAATGGACATGCATGGTTCGTTAGAGAATGAATTATAAAGCTGTTGTGGGAACTGAGAATACGAGTTGGTTTTGGATTTTGTTTCTTGGGTTTTGGGTGGGGTTTGAGTAAGCAGGAACAGAAGGCTGTAATCATACAAAACAATTCTGTTCTTTGAATGCCCAGAGCCTATTCAGCTACAGAGTGCTCCATTCTCAGGTGGTAGAAGTCTCAGGTGGGATTTAATGATCCAAATCCTGGTAGTTGCTTCATTTGAGGGATAGTGCAGATCCATGTAATTAATTAACAATTTTTTTGAGGAAAATAAAGTTTGGAGGCAAGAAAAGAGGAAAACAAAATGAGGTTCTTAATGATATCATTCACCTGTACTTCCCTAAATAGAAAGCTGTCCTCCGTACTACCACTGCAGTCTCCAACAAATGAGTTGTGTGTCCAATAGACAGAAGCATCCTTTGCTTTACAAATGTGAATTAATCCTAGATACTATTAATCCTTGATACTATTTGACACATGTTTTATTTGTCCAGGCCTTTGTTCTTTGATTCTACAGTCCAATAAAAGTTTGGTAGCTGTTTTACTTTGTTACATTAGAACTGTGAGCTTGTTGCATTTTTACAGAACTTTTAACCTAATTACTCTTCAGGTGATGAAAACAAAGTGACACTTCTTGGTCTTGGAGCAGTGGAACATCTCTATAAACTCATCTCACACGAAGATCCAATTGTACGCAGAAATGCCATCATGGTATTTGGCATCATGGCTTCTAATCGTAAGAGTCTCCATTTTTTAATATTTTTCAATGTGTATGAGTGTGGTCATCAAAGCAATAGGTGGCCCATGTGAAAAAATCCTATATTAACAGCTCACAATAAAGGAACAAAGTCAGCTAGAGTGAACTCCACTGATTTTGAAAAAATTACAAGAGAAGTTAATTTTCCTCCAGCCCTTACTTCTGTTTTGACGGGGCCAAAGTGAAACAGTTTAATACTGGAATTATGTTTATCAGGGAAAGCCTCACTACATTAGATGCCCAGCAATGTGGACATGACACACTCTTCTCTTTTATAAAAGTTGGAAAAGAATGATAAAGCATATCATCTACAGAAAATGCTATGGTTTTTACTTGAGGCATTAGTGTAACTAGAGTGATAAGGGAGAAAATATGTTAAATTAAAGTAGCTAACTCAAGCACTGGTGGCAAAAAAGGCCCTGAACTATCAAGCATTGGCATGCATATTTGCTCAGCTTTGGCAGGTCACTGCTGCTGTTCTGTTTTCTGTATCTGAGCTAGTGAAATTCAAGCAGTCTTGAGTATCTCTCAGAGACACTCCATTCACAGCAAGGTAGTGTATCTACATATTTAACCACAGTGTATGCAGATTTTCTTGCACCTTTCTATAAGGTGACAATGAATGTGTGACATCATTGTTGTGTGGCTGAGTGCCAAATGATTGAGCTGCAGTGAGTGGTATATAGGCATACCTGAAGATAAAAGAATAAGTGACGTAAGGTTGAGTTTCAGTGGCTGTTATTTTTACATTGCTTTATAAACCTACATCTCATTAATATAATTAATCAGGTCTTAATATGGTAGATGTTCTACCCAGCTGCCTTCCATGGTGATGCCCTAACCACTATTTAAGTTTTTTCATGAACTGCTACCTGCTTTTCATGTTGCATTGGACCTTATGCTCTTTACCTTAATTTCAACTAAGCATTGGCATGTAATTATTCCCTTCAGACATTCCCTTGGCTTCCAACACTGCTGCACAAATGTGGATTTGAATGACTGAAGATCTACCATTTATATTCACATCTTAATTGGTTTTTTCTTTAAAAGTATATTCAGCTCATACCTTTTTTTCTTACATTTCAACACTAAGTGTTGATAGTAACAACACAGCCCTGTAAGATCCCATGAAGGCTGCCCCAAAGAATGTTTTTTGATTATTCTATCCAGTGGTTGTGGTTTTGCTAGTTTCCCATTGACAGCAAGAAAAATGCATTCTGAAAGTCTTTACTGTGATTTTAATAAGACCTATATAATTCATGTTTTCAATTTGCAATGTGGGCTGTGTTAGCATAAAATTAGAAAGTGATGGCTTGAAAATTAAATAACGGAAGGATTGCTTTTAGTTTGATAATTTTAACCACAAATAATTTTAACTATTGGGGTATGACTTCTTTGACAACTAAAACTGTGAAATATTTAATCAGCACCTGCTATATGCAAGTATTTTGAATAAAGTTTCAATGAAGTATTGAGGAACTCATATATATCAAATGTCAAAGAATGTCATCTGTTACTTGAACATCTCCTGTATGTTTTGTGGGCCCTTTATGGTCTTGGTATAACTTCAGTTGTGTGTCATTCTCAGTCAGATCTTTTTGTCACTCAGGGAGTAACTGTAAGTACATTTCCCTTGGAGCAGAATCTGTTTATTTACTCAGCCAAGATTGCTAAACAAAAGACTCCGTATTTGTATTTATTTCATTGTAGATGATGTCAAGAAGTTACTGAGGGAACTGGATGTCACAAATTCACTTCTATCACAGCTGGCGCCAGAAGGTAGCTTGCAGTATTCATTCCTTGTACAAAAATACACTCAGAAATAACTTGTGATTGCCTTTTGATTGGACAATTTAATAAAATCTTCCTTGTAACTTCTGATTTGCCATACTATATGTTAAATAGGTAATTGCTTTTATAGGAGTAGCTCTGTTACTCAGTGAGTAGTGTTTTATGTTATACAGATGGAGCAACATGTTTACAGAGATGTCAGGTATGATTAACAGCTATTGTTTATTGACTTCAAATAATATTTTAAACCACTGGATTAGTGAACGTATACTGTGCTGAATAAAACTCAATCAAAATATTTCTTTTTTTTTTCCCATAGAAGATGTAGTTATCCATGAATTTGCTACTCTGTGTCTAGCACACATGGCGGTTGAATATACTACTAAAGTACAAATATTTGAGCAAGGTGGATTAGAACCGCTTGTCAGACTGCTAGGTAGCCCTGATCCTGATGTTCAGAAGAATTCAGTTGAATGTATCTACCTCCTGGTGCAGGTAAAGTCTGTTGTTTTAAATTACAGAGGCAGATAAGCACTCTGTCCCCAACCCCCACCATCCTCTGTGGGGTTAATAATTATAAAATATTTGGTTCCTTTACTCTCCAGTGTTCACCAATGTATTTGAAAACATTACACACAAGTCCTTGATTGTTACATTAGTTATGTATATAGCTGATTTGACTCTAATTCTGTTGAACTTAATGCAATTATCCATGCTGTACAGCAATGTAAGTGAGATCAGAATCAGATACAGATTTTTTTAACTGAATATGAATTTGTTTTCTTAGTTGGAAAATTATAATCTCTGTAATGAGAGTTATAACCTGTCTATCCAAAAGAGTGGAATAATCCTGTAAATTAAAGAACTAGCAATTGCATTGTGCCTTCTTTTGGCCAGCAAGTCCATAGTCACAATTTTGAACATCTTTTTAATGATAGGTGAATGCTGTCAACAGCTACTTTCCATACTGGGAGGAATAGGTTTGTTATTGGCTACTTTCACACTCAGAACTAATGTCATCCATATGCTGCTTAGCAAAAGAATGGTGCATTTGTATGGCAGTTTTCTTCCATGGCTTAAGCGAATCAATTCAATAATGAATTCAGTTTATAACTCTATCTCTTTTGGGGCATCAGAGCATGTCTATTCAGAATCGCATTTTACTCTTTCTCCTTTTTTACTATCTCGCTGTCTTTGTTGCAGGGTATATCTGGATAACTGCACCTGGTGCTTGCTTATATTGATAAGGATAATTGCATGCTGCACATGTGCAATAAGCTATTTAAAAGCAAATTGTAATTTATTTATTCTTTTTCTATTTTAATATAATCTACTACTGTCTTTTTATTAAGCTGCATATACACTGTTTAAAGTTGAAATTTTAAATTGTCATTTTATAATTACTAAAACAAAGGAAGATATAACCAGGCAACCACAGTACAGTGCAAGAACTATTTTCCCCCAACTGGGGTAAATAAAAATGATCAAACTAAATTTAAAAAACTTTCTCAAAGAAACATGTATGTTGAGACAAACATGGCAAAACCAAGAGTAAATAGGCTTCCTTAGACAGGACTAGATTCTGTACTCTGTACTTCAGTCATGCAAAAAAAAAAAAAATTGGAATTTAAGGTTGCTGGGGCCTGATTATATTCAGTTTGCTTCTTAGCTGAAAAGAAAGAAATCTCCAGAACTGGAAGTTCTGAAATATTGCCTCATTTTTGTATGTTTGAAATCAGAATTTTGGTGTCCTTTCTGTAAAGTCAGGAATTGATGTACTGTTATATTCTCTGTTACTAACATTCTTTGTTGAATATTTTACTGCAGGATTTTCAAAGCCGTGCTGCAGTTCGTGCACTGAATGCAATTCCACCCTTGCTGGAACTACTGAGATCTGAATACCCAGTTATTCAGTTGTTAGCCCTTAAAACCTTAGAAGTAATTAGCAAAGACAGAGAAACCAGGATAATACTGGGAGAGAATAAAGGATTAGATTGTCTTCTGAAGATACTGGAAACCGATGTACAGTTTACTTGCCTTAAAAGTTTTTTGTTCTTGCTGCTAATGTTTGTATGTCTAATGAGAAATATTATTCATGTTATGGAATAGTGATAAAAGAAGAAAGAGCTCCTTACTTGGAGCTAACTATGATAGAAATAGGATAAGCTAGGATACCTAGCTTACTAAGAAAGGGAGCAAAGGGATTCACCAAAATGTTTGTATTTGTTTTATTGCTTTTTTGCTATTAGTAATATTGTTTTGCATTTTCTGACCATTTCTCCAACTGCTGTAAATACCAGAAAAAATTCACCATATAGCTTTTTATACGATTTTTTCTCAAAATTTTTCATGCTGAACTCTGGTGCTGGTTCCTAGTTCAAACACTGATCTTTTTTTCTGAACTTACTTTGATATCTGTGGCCTTAAATATAATTTCCTACTTTGGAAATTTCATTGTTTATGTTATCATGAGACTCATTTTAGTGCTTCTTGAGTTCCGGTGTCTTCATGGGAAATATAAAGTATAGAGAAATCTGTGAATTTTTTGAAATTTTAAGATGACAAGTCCTGTCTGACCCACTTTGGTATAAATGAGAGACTTTCGGGGTTTTTGCTGGTTTTGTATTGCATCCTGAGGCACGTCAAAGACATTATAGAAAAATATGATTATGAAAATATGTACTTTGCATTGTAAATTGTCCAAAAGAAAATTATGGCAATTATCCTACAAAGTTAAAAGCCAAAGATATTTTAATCCTGATCTGAAGATTATTTGTTTGGGTTTTTTTCCTTATTAGGAATTCAGCGATCTACATGTGGAAGCTCTTGCCGTGTTGGGAAATTGTCTGGAAGATGTGCATACTCTGCAACTGATTCAGCAGACAGGAGGCCTTAAAAAGCTACTTTCATTTGTAAGAGTCTCTACTGTTCCCGATATTCAGGAGAATGCAGCAAAGGCAATTACCAAAGCAGCTTATGACTGTATGTGACTTTTTAAAAATCCATGCATGTGAATTTGATTATGAAGTAAATTTTCATCCAAAATGAGGCCGTCTTATCTGGTTGAGGGTAGTACTTGTGCTGGGGAAAACACTGGCAAGAGAGAATTACAGTGATGGTGATGCCAGATGAATCTTGGCAATCAGAGCAGCAATTGGATGCTAGGCTACATACATATATGAAAATGTTAACATTTTGCCTCAGTTGTTTTTAAATGTAGCATATTCTTGCAAAATGCTGTTCTCAAAAGGGAAAACGGAGTTCTGAAAATATGATCTTTATCTTTTTTTTAGTGATGCCAGGTAACTGCCATCTTAAGCCACCCTATTTCTCATCAGTATCAGTTAAGACTTAATCGCAAGCTTACTTCCTTTTGCATACAACTGCCCGTCTAAATGTCAGGCAATTTCAAATACAAATTCCTTTAACAGGGACATGAAAAAAAGCCTTTCAAATGGTTTGCAGATTAATATTCCCAGTGGAGTTAAATAGTTTCATTGTCATCTTTTTATAATTATTCATCCTATAGTTCTTTTTTATATGCTTTTCTTTAATTCACCAAGGAATTCTGAATTAGCTAGAACATGCTCATCACTTTTGCCCACAAGGATGCTCTTTAAATTAATCTACATTTGAAATTCCTTCCATACATTGGTTTCTGAGTTGCAACATATGCCTAGTAGTGCTATATAAAAAAATGCAATGTAAGAAATAACATACTTCTGTCTATAGAAGATTTTAATTCTCTCAAGGGATTTTGATGACAGTAACTATGACAGCAGAGCTTAAATATTTCATTCATATTTCTATCATCTCATGGCTTTAATTCATGTGTATTTTACAAATAAGTTATCTAATTTAATATATGGCTAAAGTAATCTCTCCTTTCTACAGTATTTCAGACCTCCTTTCTTCTCTCCCCATCTTATCTTTCCAATTCTTTTCTCTCCTTCCTTAGTTTGTCGTCCTGAATATCTGTAATTATTTGGATTGCAAATGGTACATGAAAAGAGTGGAATCTACCTTTCCTAGTATTCTGTGGGTTTCTGTATGCTTTTATCATTATCTACTGGAAGCTTTGCAAGTCACTGAAAATTATTTTCATTAATGTTTAGGTATCAAAGATAGTAAGGGACTTTTTCATGCCAGTATTTTCTTTGTGTATTTTCCTGTATTGTTATTTTATTGTGCTACTTAGGACTGTCAGTATCATTTCTGTAGTCCTGTGACAGGCTTGTAAGAAGTATGCTAAGCAGATTTATATTTGCTTCTACTACTTTCTACTGCGTCTTTCTCCTTTTTCATATTTATCTTCAAATAAGCATAGCCTTCTTTTCCTCTTTCACACCTTTTTCAGTTTTTGTGGCCTAATATTTTAACAGCTGTTAGTAGAAGCATGTCTAAACACATTTTTAAAACACAGTGGCAAGAGCTACACATAATATATTACAGTACTGCCTATGATCTTATATCATGGGACGTTACCGTCAGTGAAGATGCATCTTCTTGTCATACTTCTTTACAAATGGAGTCAATGTGGTTTCATTATAAAGGTTTGCTCTCTTCTTCAGCCTGTGACAGCTGGTATTGGATGCAGCAAGCTGGGAAAATAGATCAAAAGAAGATTTAAAATACTTGCTTCCAAGCTGTAGAATTTTGGTGACAACCAGTTAGACAAAGGGCAACATGTTGTACTAGTGCAGTGGAAAACACAGTCCAGTAAACTTGCTGCTTAACATGGCCCCCAGAAATATTGAATTTATTTCAGATACATAGAGCTATTGGTCTAAAGTCAGCCTTCCAGTGGAAAGAAAAGTGACACTGGGGCCATTATAGGAAATAGTCCAAGTGCAAATAGAAAACAGAAATTTTTGCAGTTCTTGTTTGTTTGTTTGTATCCTTGTTGTAAATATACTAAACAGCCTATCCAAACAGTAGCACTAATGTATACTATACTAATACTTGCCTTGATATAAATCCAATATATTACAACACAGCTCTTAAGTTCTTTTATGACTTTTTCATTAAATTTGCAATAGCTATATAGTAGCCCGCATTCTTCACGTTTAATAATTGTGGTTGCATTCTACAAACATTTCCTGCATACTTGAGAAAAAAAAAATTACTGCTTTTCATTGAAATGAAAAACTTACTTCTGCTATGATAGGACATGTATCTACCTGTTTTTTTGATTCTGGCAGCTGAATCTGGTGTCTGGTCAGCAGTGTCTGGTTTTGAAATTATTATTGTTGACAGATGGAATTTAATTTTGTTTTTTTCCTGATAGATGTGATCATAGCAAACAGTTTTGGTTTATAGCCCCTCTCAGCCCTTTGGAAAGGGACTCCTGTAACTTTTTGTTGTTGTTGTTATAAGACAAATGTATCCCTTAAGAGCTATTCTCAATCTCAGAATAAATTACGCAGTACAAACACTATATTCAATTTTAAATAGCATCTTTAGGACGCTGCTCTGTTTATGTAAATTAAAATTGATCATATTTCTGTACATAATCATTATCCTTTTGCCCCTGAAAATTTGTTTTGTTCTGTAACATAATTTTGAATTTAATAGATTAATTTATCAGTGGTTTTATTTTGTATGCTCAGAATTACAGTGGTGAATTTTACTGTGATTCCCTCCTTGCCCAGCAAATACTGCAGTCATTCAGAATGCAAAATATAGTTTGATGCTATAAATTATTGAGTATCTGTGACTGGATTATCTGGACTGTTGATTAAGGAGGGCTTGACTTTCCCAACAATGCCAGACACACCAGCAACAACAAAATGCCATGGAAAGTGTATGGAGAAAGTAATGATCATGCTCACTTGAGTTTAGCTTCATTCTGCCAAACTTCTGGTTTGAAGCTCTCCCCGTTCTTTACATGTATCTAAATGCAAATCTTTTCAAAAGGGAGCATACTAAACATGCTCTGTAGCCCAATTAACATACGCTTTTTCATAATACAGGGTTTTATTTATTTGGGTTATCTCGACTCAAGATCGGTGAGAGGTCATGATATTATTTAACATTAACTTTTTTTCATTTGAAATTGGTATAAGTAATTCCATAAGGTGATGACAGTGAGCTGAATAGGTAATCAGTAGAACAACAAAGGTTGGCTCACAATGGGGTCAATGCATGGAAAACTGGACAGAAGTGTTAGTACTACAGACTCTTTTAGTTGGGTGTGCCCGAGTATTTTACTTCGTGCTAAATCAATGTATTCAAATTACATAAGGGTCAAGAAATTCGTCGCTGTAAATATGGTGTTGGCACTAACATGAGAAGTGCTTAAGTACAAAAGATGCTTTTCAATTGTACATTCTTTCTTTTCTATAGTAAAAGCCAAAGGAAACAACTCATACAAAACAGAGGGAGGATCAGCAGAAAATAATCATCCCTTAAATAGAATTGGCACCTGGATCTTAAAATATTAATAATTTTCGTCTATCTGTCTAGCTTGCTAAATATAGGTGCATACTGTTTACCATAAATTCAAATAAAAAATCTGTTTTCCACAGTATTGAAAAAGCTTTTGAAATATTTTAAATAATTTTCATTCATTCAAATGAAGTATTATTATTATCATTATTGTTGTTGTTGTTGTTGTTGTTGTTGTTGTTGTTATTATTATTATTATTATTATTATTATTATTATTATTTCACATGGGCATAAATTATCTTTAAATGTTTACCCATCATCATAACTGCCTCTAAAAGCAAGAATATTTTTTAAGAAAATCTGTATAGTAATAAGTAACTTGCTGTACAAGAACCAAATTACTGAGGCATAAAGAACCTCTAGAGGTCATTATTAAGGATTATGGACTATTTTGGCAAGCAACAGGCCAACCGCATACCTGATTACTTGTGAAAATGGTCTGTAATCCCAGTTAAGGCCTTCTCTTGAGAGCTGGCTGATAGGCATCAAGATTGTGGCCAAGGTTTTGCTGACGCTTAAAATCCTCCCTGTTTCATTTGTTGCATCTTTTGCTTTGTGATTTCAACTGTGTATCTCTGATGATTCTAAAAATATTTAAAAGTGAGCTATAGAGGAGAAAACAGCTGGCCGTCTCATGTAAGTGCACTGAGTCATTTCTGCCATAACTAGATTTTCAATCAAACTTCCTTTTCATCGGCTTTGTGGATTTGTTTGCTTTTATTCACGACAGATTCAGTTTTATTTAAAAGAATACTTCCAATAGTTTTCCTTCCTTTTCAGAATTTTTATTTGTAAGACAACAGTCCAAATAAGGGAATGATCCCTCAAAGTGTTGGTGAGCTCTGGTAAAATTTCCAGATGTGTTGAAGTCCTACTGACTTCTCAGTTCCTGAATTTCTTTGATACATTTGAAAATTTTACCATGTAGATATAACTTCAAGCATGTAATTAATCCCCTTTAAATTATGCATGTGGTTAAATGTTTATTGACCCTTGTAACTCGTACTCCACCATGTTCAATTGTACATTTACTAGTATGTTCTTCAATTTTTTGCATTTGGACTTCATTAACATAAACCAAAGTGAGCATGATCTGTTGAACTGGAAAAGCTGTTTTCATCAAGCCTGTATGCATTCTGCAGTTTTAAGTCTTATAGAGAGCAAACTTTGCATTGTGTTGGGCTATGTTTGTTCAAAGCTGTATTTGATAGTCATCTTTTGGACTTGATTCAGTGTTCACTGAAGTCTAATGGGTTTTGGACTGGGTCCTTTGTGCACAGTTCTTTATTGCTGGTGCCTCTGTTACCAAAGTATTTCCATTTCCATGGTATGAAAAGCTAGTGTTATGTTAGAAACAACTATATGAAATTAAATTTGTGTCCTTTCATTGATTTGGAAAATGAATGCAGCTTAATGCTATTATTCGTTTTTGTTTAAAGCTGAAAACAGAAAAATCTTAAATGAGGAAGAGGTTGAGAAGTGTCTCATAAACCTTTTGGAAACTGATAATGATGGAGTTAAAGTTGCTGCTTCCCAAGCAATTTCTGCCATGTGTGAGAATTTAGCTAGCAAACGTGCATTTGGACTTCAGGGTAAGTAAGGTGGGAAGGGATGAACTGAGAACCTGTGCTTTTCCTTTTATAAGGAACATATTATAATTTTTCAGATTGCCATGGTTTATTTAAAGGTTCATATGTACAATTATTTCTTTAAAAGGGATTCCCCAGCTAGTACAGTTGCTAAGCAGTGACAATGAAGAGGTAAAAGAAGCTGCAGTGACAGCATTAGCTAATTTGACAGCAGCCAGTCCTAGTAATGCAAGGTGAGTCTGCAATAATTAAATTATTATTTAACACACTAATCTGAACACAAGCGATAATATTTTGATTTTTAAAGAATGCCTCATCCTGTCCTTATCCTACAAGGCAGATCTGTTTGAATTTGACAGTAAGGCACTTTTTGGTGCTTATGAGTCATCTGGAATAGGTTGGTTCTCATCGGTGTTACAAGAGTTACACTATCTCTACTAATGTTTGCTTTATCAAGGAAAGGTATGAAGCAGATGTAATGAAAGCAGAGATATAAATCATGTTTTGAAGAGAACATGTCGAAGAAAATGTCCCTTGTATTCTAAGACATTTGACGTGGGGTATTAAAAATCGGTAAGGTATCCTTTAAAGTTTGATGGTTCATGCAACTTTCTTTGACTGATTTAAACCCAGTCTTTGAGGGAGATAGCACTCAGATGTTCTGAATATTGTCATTGTCTTTCTTTTTTTATTATTTTCCAAGTAATAGAGAATGCTCACAGTACATTCTCTAAAAGAAAAGAAGTGTAACTTCAGTATCCAAAATAACTAACTAAGGATGGTTAGCTGACTGTAAGTTCCAAAATAATTGTATCCACTAAATTCTACTGTCAGTTGCAGAGTTCTGTTATCCCAACTCTATTAAAAGTTCTGTTCAGGGAAAAGAAACAGAGCGGTCTGACGTATATGAGCAATCACATGTAACTAACAAACCATAAAATAAAATTCCTTAAAAGTTTCCTGGAATATACTCAAGGAAGTTGTAATCCATTCACAGGCATTCTTTGAAGTGAAAAAGTAAAATAACTCACCAAATAAATTATTTGTTTCAATTTATTGATTCAGCTCTAATAGTCACCAGTATTCACTTAATGTTACCAGATGGAGCCATAATTTGACACAAGAGAATAATATTCTGTTCTCAGATTCACATAGTAGATTTTTTTGTCTGGTATTGTGCTCTCCTCATGTGCATGACTCTTCAGTTGGTGTCAGTGGAAGTCATACACACATAAAAAGAGCACAGTACTGGAGTCCAGGGGTCAGACTTTCAGCTCTGCTACAGCTGGTTTTCGTAGTGCAGCCCTTTGAGGTTTCACATTGCGAAAAGGGAATCTCTGGAGAGTTTTGTGTTGGTATAACAGCTTATGCCAACTCATTCAGGTTTTTTTTTGCCAAGGAGATAGTCAGGACATTGTTTAGCTCAACTGCTAGAACAATTCTCTGAGACCTCAGGCAGGGAAATAGCTGTCTCTGTTCCTCTGCATTATAATGGAGTCCGTATTTGTTTCTTGCGGCAGAGTCAGGAAGTTGTAAAGGTGCCTTACATATACTTCTGTCTCTTTGCAATCCAGCTCTGAGTACAATATGGAAGCACCAGATAATCTAATCACAGGTCTTCTGTGAAAAATCAGGAAGCAATAATTTACATTAAATATGTATGTTGGATGAATGCCATGTGACTGTATAATTACTTCAAAACTTCATTTCTAAATCAAAACCATTAATAAGTCATAGAAGGGTCCAAGTGTGACTAGGATTTATAAATGAATATATAGAGTTGAACCCTCAGCTGATAGAAATTGGTATAGTTCCAGCTCACTGACTGAGTATCTGGCCCATATCTATTTTACATTCACACAATAGGAAAAAAAATAATTTGGCGAAAATGCATTCCAGATTGAGTTAACATAATCATATTTAATTCTGGAATATTTTGTGTGTATGTCTTGTAAACCACTGAAAGTAAGTGTATGTATAAGGAAGATGCTGATATACTTTTATAATGATGTGACTTTGCTGAGTAATTATGTTAATAATATTCTGGTCTCAAATGAAACTAATGAGACTAGTTCCCTTTTATTGGTTATATATTAGATTATTTTTATAAACCCTCCAAGAATATTAAATCATAAAGCTAGTAGTAGCAGGTAGACCTTCTGTGGCAAGAACAAAATGGCTACAGTAAAGGGGAAGACTGTTTACTCTAAATGTTTTCACCTCTTACCAGCCGGCCAAAAATTCAATCTTCTTGACCTCATATACATCTGTTCTGCCCTATTTCATGTCATGAGCATTTTTGCATGTATTATATTAATTGAAGGATGTGTACCTTGCCCTTTCATTTTGTACAGAATATATTACAGAATGTAAGCAGAGTACAGGACTGCTGTTTTTGCTGGAAAATTTTTGTTCTTGTTAGGAATATTTGGTCAAGAAATGTCTGCTTTTCATATAATATGGGAAAAAATACAACTTAAAACAAATTGTGTAATTAAGGGTCCCGCAATAGCTAGCTCATAAGGATAAAGTCTTCCATTGATTAATAACACAAGAACAGCATAGGCAATGGGCAATACTACCCCCACTAATGTATATTAACCTTGACCTTTAGGTGCTTCCCCACAGCAATGAAAGGCTAGTTCTATACCCCTACCCAATCAATCCTTTGTTTCTCAACTGAGACAGCTAATAAAGGTGTCAAATACGGTGGAGGTTTTGTAATTAGAACACCTGTTCACGATGAACGGGACAGAGACCAGCTTGTCACTTCACACAAGTCCCCAAGCAACCACGATTTGGCAAAAATAAAAAAATTAATGAATTACTCTGGCCCCGTAGTATTTTAACCAAAGATCTAGAGCAGAAGAGAACATGAGTCCCATACCAACAGTCTGTGTTTTCAGGTTTACTGTAAAACATGGATTTTCAATATGATCTCTACCAGAACACATAAAGATTACTATAAATAACTTCTAAAATATTTCAGCATTTAAGCTTTTGTTGCAGAGCTGATGTTGTGTCATGCTTCAGTAGCACACAGAAAAAAATACAGTGGTCAAATGCCTCATTAGTTTACAGATTGACACCCCCAAATGATGCTTTTATCAGAATTTTATCATAAATTAATGATAGAATTTTGATGCTGCTGTATATTGATGATAAATTCTTTGTAAACTTGTTAATAGTTAGGCTAAATAAAAATAAAATTGCAAAGTATACTGCAGTTTAAAATCCCATGTACTTATTCTAACATCTGATAAAGAAACTATTTTGGGATATTACTATGCGTATAGCTCTGAGGCCATCCTTGATAGACGTGTCAGAATTTGTTTCTGTGGTTCTGCTGCTGGAAAGAAGAGAATTATGTTCAGCTGGGTATTTGCATCCACTTCACATTTTTTAATCCAGAACACTAACTTGCTTTATTGAAAATGTACACAGTTATTTGGACAGCAGAATGTGTGAAATCTGTCTATTTTTGATGTGTCCAAGCATCAGGAAATGTAGGCACAATTACTTCAATAATGTATATTATGCGCAAATTGAAAAATTGCACACAAACAAAGAAACAGCAGTGCCATCTATTGGTCAGAAAAATAAATTATTCCATGCTATACTACTAACTACAGAACAAACATTTTATTTCAGCCTCTGCCTATTTTTTCCCATTTAAATTATAAACAATTATTCGCTTTTTAGAATTAGCTAATAGTGTTAAATATAAATACGATATTAGTTAGAAGTAAGACATAGAAATGAGATCTCAAGTGTACCAGTTAGTCAGACAATTAACATGAACAGCTCTTTTCTTCAGTATTGTTGTAGCACAAATGCCATTTCTAATAGCTGTCTTCATAAATCTGGCAATGTCTGAATTCTGGGCACCTAATGGAGTTACCACTAAAGAAAAACACATGCTCTGAAATTTAGAGCTTTGTACTGGACATGAAAACTAATTAACAGCCTCAATAATATTTGTCTTAAATTGTTTATTTTAAGTGCACAATTTATAGCATTCAGTTAGAGTTTGGTCTGGGGGAAGAAGGAAAGGGATGGGTTTTGTTCAGCTGTACAAAGGGCTGCAGGAAATTGTGGTACATGACAGACTTATGATCTGGCAGAATATTTCTCCTGGGGTTTATAATTAGTGTCAGGTTACATATTTCTAAGTATTCTATCTGGATTCAAGATAGTGAAATGTCATCCCCAAAACTGCAATGTCAGCAAAATTAATGTTATTTAATTTTCTAATTCTTGACTTCTTCACAGGAATCAGTGGACCTATTTACATTAGCAAAATTATGTCCATAAAGGTAGTTACAGGCATTATCACAGCATCTGAATGTGTGCTTTCTCATATGTATCAAGATTTTCAAGATTTGGGAGTAGGTTGGGGTAGATTTGGGAAGGTAGTTTGGGAGCTCATTGGTTATGGGCAGTGACCAGTGAGGAGAAAGTGAGTTGTTCCCTTGACTTAAATGGGACTTGCATCTATTCCAAACTGAAATTCATATACTGATCTAATGACCCAAAATCAGTCTATTCCATGTGGATAATGTAGTGAGAGTCTCGCACTTTCTTAAATAGAGATTTTCAGTATCCACAACAGATTTTTATTTTTTTTAAGGTGGGTATGGCCATCAAGGAATAAATTTAAAGAACTGCCAGTTTTCTTACATTTCAAATTTTGTTATTATCATTAGAAAGTAATGATTATTACTACTAGGTAGTAATATCACTAGGTAGTAATCTTCCCCATTAGCAAATGGGAAACTTAATCATAGCTTTTCTCTTTCAAGACTGTAGATGGAACCTAATTCACATAAATGGATCAATACTGAAGTGTTGGTGTTATGTAAGATAAAATGTCTGCATGAATATATACGTTAATTCATGAGAACAGGAACAAAAATGTCTAGTACATGAGAGCTACATTTAAAACCACAATAATCCATTGTATAGGTTTTGTCTTTTTTATGGTTTAATAGTTCTTTTCTATAACATAAGTTCGTGTTTCTGAAGGAGGGAATCAACAATAGAATGCCACTAGCTGTATTGTGTAAAGGTAATATGTTTTAATACTGACCCCTAGTGACAGAATTATATTTTTGAGCTACTATGCTGCAAGGTCAAGGGATTTTGTTGCGTTTCGTGGTTTGTGTTGTTATTTTTACAATAGCACCCATTCTGCTGACCCCTATACAAATACAAACAGTTAGCTCATGCTAAC